AAGCTGGAGGACAGCGACAATCTAACCTCCAGGGAAAATCATGGTCACCCCCTTTTTCAAAGGCCTAACTGGCCTTACTACCTCAAAACATTTTTCTTTTTGATCTGAAACAGCCTAGAACACAATTAAGCAATGCTGGCCAGCTGGGTCAGTACAAAGAGGCCCACAGGAAAAGACTGTAAATGTCACATTGGGATAGTGGGGGAGGGCCACAGAGGCCTCCAGAAGATCATCAACTGTCTCTTGGCATAGATGGCTGAGAGGTCCAGGAGGCTGGAGCCCCCCAGAATTCTGGAATGCAGTTTCCAGTGCAAATAAGGGTTAGTTTGTAGGAATGGTGCTGGAATGTGTCCAGGCACTTCCTGTCTGTCCTTTGAGTCACTTGGAAATGGCTAACAAATAGGTTGGACACCTGGCTTCAAATGGAGAAGGGGATTTCCATACAGACCCTGCACCGTAAAATTCTCTTCCTTCCCGAAGCAACTGAGATCAGGACTGAAATGTCCCCTAAAGACTCCAGTGTCCTACAGTGGCTCATGGCGAAGTTAGACCAAATACTAGACTCAAGGGGACAGCTCTACACGTGTGAAAAATGCTGCTTGAGAAGACTCGATGTCCAGGTTTGAGAGCCACTAGCTGGTGGGTCTGGATAATGAGCATCCAAAGCTGCATTTCTGTCTGTTCCTAGGTCAGCCAGCCACGTGCAAACTGAGCATGCTCACTGGATTTGGGTCAGCCTCCGGACTGGAGAATTTAAGTTCAGCTCGGAAGTGAATCCTGGCGGAGAGCAGGGGCCATCTAAAACAACCTCCCTTTTATTTTAATATTAACACCCACACAGAAATCTGTGCAGGTCAGAGAGCAAGGATAGTTGGCACCTGCCTATCAAGCGCCGTGCAGTTCTCAAGGCCGAGGCAGCCCGGTAGCGCTGGCTTCAGTGAGGTCTTTTCCCAGAACAGGTTAAATATGCAAATACACGCTGGTGGGTATCTGCTGCAGTTCCTGGCCGCACCTCCAAGGCAAACACATCATTACCTCAGGTGGACTCTTGGCCCTGCAGGGAAGGGACTGGAACCCAAGCCCCTGTCAATCAAGCAGGACTCCTAAAATTGCCGAACTAGCACACTGCAGACTACAGGTCCTTTTGGGTTGTCTGAGAATAAAGGCAGGAGTGTTTTCAGACACAATAGTTCCCATAAAATATGGCAGAATGGCAGAGGAGGTTGGCTAATTTGAGAGATAGGAAATTGGCTTTAAAAAATAGTCCTAAATTCTTACTAGATTAATTCTTAGCTGCACATTCAAGGTAACAATTCAAGCTAGGTAATGTGTTACCTAACTATGATCGGAACAGTCCACAGGCCGAGGCAGACCAATCTCATATGCTACACTACCGCCAGCACTTGCACACGAACCAAGTTATTCATGAAGAAAATGAGTAGCTTTTTGTGTCTATTAAAAAAGATCAGGCTGGGTGTAGTGGTGCCTGCCTTTAAGCCCAGCACTTTGAGTTTGAGGCCAGCTTGGTCTGCAGCATTACGGGACAGCCAGGGGCACACAGAGAAGCTCTGCCTTGAAATAAGCAAAACAAAAAGCTCTGACATGCCGCCATCAAATCTTTATTTTTAAAAAGTGGTTTTAAGCAGGTTCACCTAGTAAGCCGTACCAGATAACCTGGATTTAGTTTATTCTAAGGTTTCTGAAAGCTGTTGCTTCTGTTTCAAACTCTTCCTAATGTTTACTTAAGCTGCATGTGTCTGCGGAGGTTCAAGGATAATTTGCAGGCATGTAAGGTTCTCCTTACACCACGTGGGTGGGTAGACTCAGCAGTGAGCACCTTATTTGCTCAGCCAATATGCAGGCCCTATGCCCTTTTTTCCTACCTTCTAGTAAATTCTTTTACTTTCAAAACCCCTCCCTACCCCCTTCCCTTCTTTTATTCTTTTCTTTTCTTTTTTTTTTCAAGATAGGATTTAACTGTGTGGCCTTGGCTGTCCTGGAACTTTCTCTATAGATTAGGCTGACCCCAAGCTCACAGAGATCTGCCTGCTTCTGAGTGCTGGGATTGAAAGCATGTGCCTCACACTGCCAGGATTTCTCCCTTTTGAGCTAGGGTCTTACTGGCATCAACTGCAAGACTGCAAAGCCTCAGATTCTCTGGCACTGAGATCATAGGGACGAGTCACCAAGTCTGCTTATTAATTTTGCTGTTTTCTCTTGATACATTATCATGTAGTCTTGGCTGTTCTAGGGCTATGTAGGTCAGGATGGCTTCAAACTTGGCAAAATCCCAAGTGCTGGGATCAAAGGTGAGTCACCATGACTAGCCTAATTTGAACTTTTTTTTTTCCGAGACAGGGTTTCTCTGTGTTGCTTTAGAGCCTGTCCTGGAACTAGCTCTTGTAGACCAGTTTGGCCTTAAACTCGCAGAGATTTGCTTGCGTCTTGCCTCCTGAGTATTGGGATTAAAAGTGTGCCCCCCCCAGGTGTTAACAGTCCTGGCTTGAAGAGTGGACTACTCTGATCTTGAACTCACTAAGATCCACCTTCCTTTGCCTCTCAAGTACTGGGATTAAAGGCGTGTGCTGCCATTGCTCGGCTCGAATTTAAACTTTTAAAAATACTTTTCTGGGCTTTGTGACAGAGGTGCCCAGCACCAAGACTGAAGACCAGAGGTGATTCCTGAGACTCGTGCAGTAGGAAGAAAGAACTGATACCCATAAGTTGTCCTTTGATTTTCATGAACTCACTGTGGTATGTGTACACTCACACAAAAAATAAAGTGCTGTTTACAATAATAAAACACTTCAGGCTGGAATGAAGTTTACAGGTATCATGTATGTAGCAAGACAAGGGTCCATCCCCAGCACTGGAAAGGAGGAGACACACACGGACACACAATCTCCAAAACATGGTACCCCTCAAAGCAAAGTAATAACTGTTTGGTCAAATACACTTTTTCACTTACTACAAAAGCCTGTCTAAGATGACATAGGCTCCGAGAGAGAACGTGAAAATGAGATGCAGCTCAGCAGCAGTGTGTGTGCTCAGCAGTGCCAGAAGTCTAGGTTTTACTGGGCAGAGACAGGAGGATCACTGTGAGTTCGAGGCCAGCCTGGTCTACAAGAGCTAATTCCAGAACAGGCTCCAAACAAAACCTGTCTTGGAAAAAAAAAAAAAAAAAAAAAGTCTAGTTTTTAATTCAGAGGACCTGCAAACAAGCTTCTGCTGGAGAGAACACATTATGACATTTCTGCATGTGTATGAGATAATCTTTGACAATTTAAAAACTGAAGACAAGAGCTGGAAAGCTGTTTAGGCCCCGGGTTCAGCTCCTAACACCCACAGAGTAGCTTACAATCACTTGGGATTCCAGGTCCAGGGCACGCAATGCCCTTTTTTGACCTTGTAATACATGCTCACAATGCATTAATTAAAAATAATACAGTCTTCTTGATGATAAGGTCATCTTATTGATGATCAGTCTATAAATCTGGAGCTAAGGTCAGGTGTGGTAGTCCTAGCACTTGGGAGGCTGAGGCAAGTAGATGTGTGAGTTTGAGGCTAGCCTGGTCTACCCAGTACCAAGACAGTCAGGACTACACAGAAAAATCCTGCCTCCAAACAAATGGATAAGCAGAAGAACAAAACAAAAACTGAAGTTTAGGGAACATTTACAGCAGGCAGCTCACTTAGCTTAATGCAGTGTTTGTACTTGAGGGGTGACGGCTGAGTGACTGGTGAACAGGATTCTCTTACCGTCCTTATGCCACAGAAGGCGAAGCATGCTGGGGACAAGGCCGGGGCTGGGAACACTCACTACAGGATGCACTCTCATACCTAGCAGGCATGAAAATGCCATTTGCATTCTTAACTTTTTCTAGACTGTTAGGAGCCTGTGGGACTAGGCCAGTAGTTCTCAACTTTCCTAAAGCTGTGATCCTTTAATACAATTCTTCATGTTGTGGTGATTATTTCATTGCTTCTTCATAACTGTAATTTTGCTACTGTTACGAATTGTAATGTAAATATCTTTGGAGACAGAGGTTTGTCAAAAGGGTCATGACCCACAGGTTGAGAACTACGGCACTAGGTGCCCATTATCCAAGCAAATGAAAACATCCTTTTCCAGAGCTCTGCCATTCAGAGCATGCATACATGCAGATTCCAGAAAGCCATGAAGTCGGGCCTGATGCCTCCCATTCTCATGGTAGTGCTTGGGGGAACAGACTGCTGCTGGGTCATTTAGCTGGGATGCGGTAAGGAAATGAGACTTATGTAGAAATAGAGTTGAGATGCCCAAGCCCACTCATGTTCCAGGACTATCAAGTCATCGCACTTGCAAGTCTTCTGGGCTCCTACTGGCTGGAATTAAGTAGTAATGTATTTTGAGGCATGTAGCTGTATCTAAGTGGTTAATGGAACCAGGCAACCACTGGACAGAAGGGTTATCACACTGCTCCAGCTGGGATCCAGGGCACGTGAACAGGGTATGGGATCTGATTAGTCTCCTAGACTTTGAGCTCGGGAAATAGTTTTTCTTTTTCTAATATTCTACCCTGAATCAAGTTTATAAAGAAATGCCAAAGATTTAACAAAGATTTAATATAATACAAATATGGTTCATATTCAGCCTCCTTTTTCTTCAAGAAAACACAAAATAAAATAGTGAAGGAGATAAAACAACAGGAACCCAACATGGGGATTCTGATGTTAGCTAGCCAAGAGTATCTAAGTTATATTGGTCTAAGTCCAGCATTTTTGAGTTCAAGACTAGCCTGGACAAATAGTGAGACCTTCCCTCAAATAAACAAATAAGTAAGTAAGGAAGTAAATAATCCATCTGTTAATTTGGGCACTGCTTTTCAAGTTTGGTCAGGCAACAAACTGTTAGTCCCTGAAAAAACCAAAACCAAAAAAAAACCCCAACCAAACAAAAATCAACCAGTCAACCAAGAACAAAGTTCAGTAACAACCTTTCCAAAATCCACGAGGCAAAATCACTTTTCATTTTGTTTATTTAGTTTTGATTGTTACTACCCCAATTTCCTAGTTAGTCTTCTCTCGATACTGCTGCAGTATCTTGGCATAAAGACTTCAAGTGTCATTAGATGTAGGGACCATATTATTGACTGTAAATCATGATGCTGGGTTATGTTTGAATGAAAACATTTGATGTGGATGATCAGATGAAAGATACCAAAATGTCAGACAGCCCATCGACTGCTGTTGCCATGAGATTCAACAGTCAACATCAATCTGATAAGCTACCCGACAAGGTGGTACAGCCATGCAGATGTCACGACGGTTGGCAAGCAAGAGGTGCCCAGGCAGGACTTAAAGCAAAGCAAGTATCTCTGGCCTGCCGAGGCTTAACGCCAGTTCTAGGAAAGAAAGTGGTTTATTCTCCTACCAAGCAAAACAAAATGAATAGGGTCAATCAGAAAAATGTCAAAGGAAAATCACATTAAGAATAAAACACAGAAACACACAGAAGTAAACTTCCACCTGTTAATGTTAGATACAAACAGCTAAAACAAACACGAACATGAAAAAGTGGTTCTTGCTAGTGTCCTTTGATTTATACATCACTACTTCTTTTTTTAATATAAAGTAAGAGATTCCCATGCTAGGTGAACCTCACTCTCTGGGTCCAGCATAACAAGGTATCTTGGTGGTGGCTCTTTGAGGCAATCAATTAAAGCTTGGGCAATTCTAGTTTTAAGTATATTTGGCAAGGCTGCAACTCACTTGGTAGAAGTGAAAAAGAAACAAAAAACCATAGCACTAAAGAAAACGGACACAATTTCGGAATGATCAAAGATGTCTTTATAAAGTTTTTCACGACTTCATTCTAAATATACAGAATAAAAAATAGTGTACTCATTTGTGAGACACCAACCAGATTTTCCTTATACCTGTCTCAAAATTTAAAGATCAATTTCCCCAGAGGGTGTGCAATGCATCATAAAATGGCCTTTTTTGAGGGTGGGAAAGGAAGGCATATTAAATTGTTCCATGATAGACATGCAAAACTGCTATCCAATATATATAACTTATATACATTTGATGACTTAGAAAAAAAAAACAATCATTTGTGACAAGCCTAAAAAGCCTGTCATATTTAACATACTTTAGAACGTTTAGCGTGGCAGGAGTTCTCCAATTGTACCATGTGGGCCCTTTGAAAGTAACAGAAGGGCAATTCTTGTTGAGTCTGCAGCATAGCATCGCATCCACCCTAAGGAAATACAATGTGGATTGGACGGAGGGTGGAGACCTTACCTTAACACATAAGGAAAAGTATGTCAGTGTAAAATACGGACTAAACTGCTTCGGGAATAATGTTTTAAAAATCAATACAAGCTGGAAAAGGGGATCTTCCTTCCCGGTTAAAGCTCTCCCAATGTGAAGCAGGACCCCTCCATGCTAACTTATGGAGATAAAAACTTTCTCTGCTTATTTAGTTTTCTCCTCTGAGTTCAAGCGCTGCTGGACTCGTTTGGCGTAACTTTGTGCCATGGAGTTAATGATAGACAGGATAAAGTAACACACCATGACCACGACCAGCTTCTCAAACATCCAGGACAACCAGTTTTCTCCCTGCAGGAGAGAAAGCAGAACAATGCAAGAAAAGGCTTTCCACCGCTCACAGCCAGAAGGCATTACTTACATAATACTTCAAGAGAGATGTTGAGAACTTGAGGGTTGCCTAGACAACCCAAACAATTAGATACCGTTCTCTAGGTATCCTGAAATTTACACTTGGTCACCCTGATTCACTCAGCTGGATGCATAGCTGATGCTAACTTGTAGTTTAGGGAGCAGGTGGGGAGGAGGATGGGCTATTCTTTTATACTGGACCCTGGGAACAGTGGTTTGGTTAGGGTCTACTCTCTACAGCTGCCTTGCAGTCTTGCTGGGAAGGGGAAAAAAATAAGTTAGAGCTGCTTTTAAAACATAAATGGGAGCCGTGTTTGGACAACTGACGGCAGCAAAGGGCTACAGGAAGAGTCGAAAGTCAATGAAAACAACCGCGTTCCTCCGGGCTTCTTAGTTAAGGTTGCTCCTTACTTATCCCTGTTGGTTCTTTCCTCTCTGCCTCATAACTGCTGACAAAATGGCCAGGCTTAGTTTATTCAAGTTAGAAGGTCAGCTGTGGCAGGAGCCTAGCTTTATTTGAAAAAGTAAAAAGAAGAAAGCAAACAGTGGCTTTCTCACAGCAGAAATGAAAAAGGACATTCATGTTCATGTTACCTAATACTTGGTGATGGTAAAATCTATAACGTTTTTACCCGATCTGGAAGTGCATGTAATAACTCAATTAAGATCAAGACTACACTGTACACAACAGAACCACTGTCTTCCATTACCCTAGTCTTGTTTCTGAAAACACCCGAGAGACACAAAGACACATTCCCCAGTGGAGAATACACAGTGCCTCAACTCCTGCTACTACACTGACAAACAGCCTCACTCACTCTGTCTAGAAACCGGGAGAGAAGGGAATCTAATTTGAGTCTGAAGCTGTTGAGTGGGGGAAGCCAGAAGAGGATCCTCACCTGTGGGCTGCCCACTTCACTTCGGTGGTGGAGCTTCTGCCGCTGCGCCTCCAGGTACTCCTGAAAAGGTTTCTGCAGAGATGGACCTATGCCGGGGACAGCACTGAAAGCGGGTACCAAAGCACGAGCAAAGACACATTTGGGAAGAAAAGCAAGAGAAATGTTAAAGAAAATCCATTTACCCCTCAGACAAAAAAACAAACAAAAAAAACAAAACAAAAAAAAAACGGGGACTGCATAAAAAGAATAAACTACAAGTAGAGCAGAAACAATCCCCTGAAGTGTAGCTAGTGGATAAAATCCTCCTTCAAACAACTTCAAACAACATTAACATATCTGGGAGAAACTAGGAATGCAAGCCCAGAGCCACCGCGAGCGAGCGCAGCAGAGACTGCACGCTGGTGTGGCACAAAGAATAAAATGAATGACTTCTGAGAAGTCCCACATTTATCACCACTAGTTCCTGTAAGAACTGGTTTAAACCGATTAATAAGGAAATGACTTATGCTTGTGTCATCTCTAGTTAAAAAAGAAACTGCCCTCCCTCCCTCCGACTGTCCCATCTTCTCAGGGGGGTGGTGGTGGTGGTGTAGTGAGTGTGTGTGTGGGGGTGGGAGGTGCTTTCTCAATCTAAGTCCTTATTAGGACAATCCCTGCGTCATCCTTATCCAAAAAGAATGCATTAGCACATTCGGAAGGCACCTCCCCCTCCCCAGAAGTCAGTGATTAACAAAGGAACAAAGAAGGAAGTACGGACCTTGAATCATTTCACGGCTTATGATGGATGTTTGCACAGAAACTTCTGTACACTACTAAACAGCCTGTTCCAAGATGTCTGGATAGCTCCCTCTGATAAGGCTCTGGACCAAGCAAGCTCCCCAGAGTCCGCGGAGCCAGGGCTGTAAAACCGGTCTAGCAACTGAAGCTCCCAGGCTCCCAGGTCTCTTTTTTCTTTTGATAGCTAACAGGCTTTTTAAAATGGGACTGTGGGGGCAGTTCTGAAAAAGTAAACATCCTTATTTCCTGTACCCTTTACTTTCTCATCTGTCTTATTTGCTAACAGGCAAACAAGCCTCTATTTTCCCTAGGGCCAGCGAGAGTACGGAAGGCGCACGTGTGCGGTGCACAGTGCTACTGGGAAGAGTACTGACTCCAATGAACTCTTTTTTTCTGGAACAATTAAGTTGCTGTTTACAAGAGCAGAAGAACAAAAGAAGACTTTTCTTCTTTCTTTCCTTCTTTCTTTTCTCTCTCTCTCTCTCTCTCTCTTTCTCTCTCTCTCTCTTTCTCTTTCTTTCTTACAGTAACAGCTTCCCAGCTGCTGGACATTCTATTTCTTTCCTTTCATTCAATTATCTATCAATCACTGAACACTTAAACGAGTCCCTGCTTTGTGTCCATGCTACAGAAAAAGGATAATCAAATCAAAACAAACATCTCAAAACAAAGTGCAGCTGGGCGAATTTTCCCACTCATGTAGTTCCAGCACTCAGAAGGCAGAGGCAGGTGGATCTCTGTGAGTTTGAGGCCAGCCTGGTCTACAGAGTGAGTTCCAGGACAGCCTTGTTTCAAAAAAGGAAAAAAACAGAAAAAGAAAATCTGTGGACAGATTCACTGACTTTGAATGAAGCAGGTGTGCAAGAACTGGGAGACTCACTCCTCTTCATGGGTCAGTTCAGGCAGGCTGCCTTCCTTTCCTTCCTTCCCCTTTTCTTTTTCTTTTTTCTTTTTGGGTTTTTGAGACAGGGTTTCTCTGTCCTGGAACTAGCTCTTGTAGACCAGGCTGGTCTCGAACTTACAGCTGTCTCTGCCTCCTGAGTGGGGGGAATCAATGACATGCTGTGCTACCACTGACTGGCTAATACAGAGCATTCTTGCCCCCCCCCCCCTTTTTGGTTTTTAGAGACAGGATTTCTCTGTAGCATTGGAGTCTGTCCTGGAACTCACTCTGTAGACCAGGCTGGTCTGGAACTCACAGAGATCCACCTGCTTCTGCCTCCCGAGTGCTGGGATTAAAAGTTTGCGCCACCACCGCCAGGCTGATACAGAGCATTCTTAAAAAAACTTTATTATATTTTTATTTATTCATTGTGTGTATGTGTGCGTGTGTATGTGCATGTCAGAGGATAACTGTTGTTCCAGATTTATTTTATTTGTTCATTTATTTATTGGAAATGAATCGTGTGCTCCCCCCCCCCCCCCCCCGCCCAGACAGCATTTCTCGGTGTAGCTTTGAAGCCTGTTGTGGAACAACTCACTTTGTAGACCAGGCTGGCCTTGAACTCAAAGAGATCTGCTTGCTTTTGCCTCCTGAGTGCTGTGATTAAAGGCATGTGCCACCACCACCCAGCTTAAATGAGCGTTTTACCTACATGTATATATTTGCATGTGTGTATGGTGCCACGGGAGGCCAGAAAAGGGCTCTGGATCCCCTGGAACCGGGGACACGGATGGTTGTGAGTCAGCATGTGGGTGCTGGGAACTGAACCCTCTACACGCCCAACAGGGCTCCTAACTTCTGAGCAATCTCACCACCAGTCCTTTCTCCCTCCTTTGTTAAGATAAAGTTTCACTAAGAGCCCGGGATGGCCTGAAACTCACAGAGACCTGCCTGCTTCTGCTTTCTGAGTGTAAGGATTATGTACTAATATATGTACTAAAGATATGTACTAACATGCCCAACAGAGGACAACTCTCGGTTCTTTCCTTCCTCCTCCTGTGGGTCCTATCATTCTAACTCAGGTTGTTAGGCATCTCAACCTGCTAAGCCATCTCACAGGTCCCTACAAAGCTTTTTTTTTTTTTTTGGTTTCTTGTACTGGGTTTCTCTGTGTAGCCCTGGCTGTCCTGGAACTCAGAGATCCTCCCACTGCTTCCCAAGTGCTGGAGTTAGGCATGTGACACCATGCCCAGCATCACAAAGTATTCTTGTACCAGAGTTTTTGAAAGAAAGACAAAAAACATTGCAGCAAGTACTTTTACCACCAAGCCATCTTTCCACGGCCCACTTCCCCTACCTCCCCACCTTTTCAGACAGGGACTCAAGCAGCTCAGGCTGGCTAGAACTTACTATTCAACCTAGACTTAACTCTACCTCCAAAGTGCTGGGATTACAGGCCTGCACCACTACACCCTGTTTATTCAAGGCTGGGATTGGATTCCTAGCTTCATGATGCTAGAAAAACACCTACCAACTGAGCCACATACTCAGCCACAGCTCTCACTCTAAACACACATGTAAGACAAATTATAAGTTCATTCCTCAAGTTATGTGTGAGCAGGAGACCAGAAGCAAGAGTCTATTCTGACACGCTAGGAATAGGCGTGTGTGCATGCATGTGTATATGAGTGTGTGTGATCGCGTTGATTTATAGTTGTCATGCTGAAAGCATTAAGTTCAGGGCCCCCTTGTGCACACAGCTAAGAACTTTTTATGTCAACTCTCAGGAGTGGGTGAAGTCCTCCACCAGCCATTTGGTGGTGGAGTTCAAAGTGTTCAAAGAACTAGTTTGGTGATACAGAGGAATACAACGTTGAAGAAGAACAAATACAAACAGAACCATGCTTTAGTTCTTAACTTTAACTAGCTTTATAAATAGCTATTTGCTGCTGGGTGATGGTGGCACATACCTTTAATCCCAGCATTTGGGAGGCAGAGGCAGGCGGATCTCTGTGAGTTCGAGACCAGCCTGGTCTTCAAGAGTTAGTTCCAGAACAGGCTCTAAAGCTCCAAAGCTCCAGTGAAACCCTGTTTTTTCCTTTTTTTTTTTTTTTTTTTACAACAGGGAGAAAAAATTCTGTGGATGACTTGGGAGGCAGAGGGAACTTCCAAGATGGAGGTCAGCCTGGTGTACAAAATGAGTCCCAGGGTAGCCAGGGTTACACAGAGAAACCCTGCCCTGAAAATAAATAAATAACCCGCCCCCTAAATTAACTTTTTCTTTTATGAATGGTAGTATTTGATATTTTGTTTCTTGTTACTGACTTTTAGAACAACGGAGTATAAAAAAACAAAACAAAACTGAACTAAACAACAAAAACCAATCATAAACTCTTAAAAGAAAACCTCCAAGAAACTCTAACGCTCAGGACTCAAACTTGATTTAAGGTGTTTGACTTTTTCCCATGGTTTTGGACCTAAGTATATGTTAGCACAGACAGAAGTCAAACTTCTTGGCAAACAGTAATTACTGTTATAAAAAGAAGAAAGAAGAGGAGAAACCAGCTGTATGTAGTGTCTCACACCTGTAATTGCAGCACCTAAGAGGATGAGGCGGGATAAATGCTCGAGTTTGAGGCCACAGCAGCCACAGCCTGGACAATAGTGTGAGACCCCATCTCAAACCAAACAACAAACACAAATAATAAATACACTCAAAATAATATGAGGGGAAGAAAAGAGTCCTGATCAGTTTGTAAGTAAACTTTTATTTTTAAAATAATTTTTGGAGCACATTTAACTCTATTCACGTCTCTAACAAGACCGTGCATTCTGAACTCTCTTATATCTCCTCAGAAAGGCTTGCATTATTTTCTGTTCTCAGATATACCAGGAATGGTCAGTCCTGAGGAAGCCCCAGAGCTGGCAGAGATTGGGGAAGAGTGGGTAGGATGCACAAATTTTCATTTGTTGCTTAATACAGGTCCTATACCTTTTCCAGGTACACTAGAATCCCTCAGTTATTATTATTATTCATGGGCATTCTTTTAAACTTTGTTTCAAGTTGGTCCACCACATATAAAACCACACCTAATTACCTCTGAGCTACTTCTCCATCACGGGGAGAGCAACCAAGCTAGACCCTGCTATGAAACTGAGCCTTTCCTTACACTCATGACTCTGTTTGGACTTTCCTAGTCAGATGTGCTTTTTGCTAGTGTATTGTTGCGATATGGGGGCACTGTACTTAACAGAAATATGAGCTGAAAAAAAATACTGTTTTGCTGAAAATGGGAGAACATGCCTATAAAACCTGCACTGGGCAAACTGAGGCAGGAGGATAGCAAGTTCCAGATCAGGCTAGAGTACATGGTGAAACCTTGTCAAATAAGGCCATCCAGGCTGCTTAGCGGGCTAGGTGCTTGTCCACAAGCCTGACAGCC